TCTTGACGCAACCGCCCAGAGCATTTTATATAGAGGTATGAGAGAGATTAAGACGCCGCCTCCCACATGAAGTCTTTGGAGAGGGCAGCCTGCCGCGACTCGTCAAACGGGGGCCGGTAGATCTTGAAGCGGTATGCTGGCTGCCCCGGGGCCATGACCTGTGTAGAGGGCGAGCTCTCGTGATCTGGAGCTGTAGGTGTAGAGAGGCGAGCTCTCGTGATCTGGAGCTGTAGGTGTAGAGAGGCGAGCTCTCGTCCTCTGCCGGGGAGCAGTGCGTAAACAGGGCGAGCTCTCGTGATGGGCGGTGGAGCAGCGAGCGTAGAGGGCGTCGAGGGCCAGGGAGCATGACCTGTGGAACCGACTGGCCTCCATTGGCGACACCGCCACGCAGAGTCTGGCCGTCCACCTAGGGGAGGAAAAAAAGAATTCCCCGCTAGGGGAGGGGAGGGGCACGACAGGCGGGTGCGGCCTCCGCCACGCCGCCACGGGCTGGTGGCGGCTGAAGGGCCGTGCAGTGGCGGTTGCGAAGGCGGCCGCTGCTGTGCCGCCGCTTACGGCATGTGGCATCATATGTGGTGTTCCCAGTCTCCCAGGCAGCGGCGGGCTCAACGAGTGGGGGTGCGGGTGCGGGTGCGGGTGCGGGTGCGGGTTGGGTCAAGCCAGGGACAGGGCGGAAGCCAGGCTGAGACAGAGAACCAGCGTGTCTGCTCCGGAGGGTGGTCAGAGCCGCGCTCCCCTTTGGCTCTGAGAGCGCTGCGGCTCTTCGGCCGCCCAGCCGCTCGCAAACCCCGCCCTCGGAGTGGCGCAAGGGCCGGTGAGGGGGGGGGGCACGAAGGGGGGGTTCCCTTCACCTCGAGGATGACGTCGCCGACGTGCAGCAAGCCTACGCAGCGCAAGCAGGGGACCCGTCCTTTACGTACGACGGCTTCGGCCAGAGGCCCAAACAAGGTTGCGGCAGCAGTAGTGCTTCATGAGCGGGGCGGTTTGGGGGCGACATCACTCCGGCGAGCGGGGTGAGCGGTTTGGGGGCGACATCACTCCGGCGAGCGGATGAGCGCGCGCGCCTTGCTGCTCCGCCATCGACCCGGGCGAGATGCGCCGCACGATGTTCTGGTTGTCGAGATCGAGGCCGAGGCCGGCAGTGCCGCGCATTGCCCGCACCTCCGTCACGAAGCCACCCTCGGGCACGTCCTTGAGGCCGTATGCGCCGCAGCCGGCGTCCGCCGCATCTGCTGCCGCCACTGGCCGCCGCAGCGTGTGGCCACGGTCGGGGTCGAGGTCGTAGTCGTCGTCGCTGGAAGCGAGCGCCGCCGCCGCGGCCGTTGCCTCTGCCGCGTCCACCTCAGCGTGCGCCGCCGAAACGAGGAAGTACCACGGGACGAGACCTCGAGAGGTGGCAAGAGCGAGGGTCGGGGGAGGAGGAGCGACGCGCGTCGATGGGGCAGGCCGGGTGTGTGCGTGGGGCGGCGTGGGCGGTGGAGGCTGCCTCGGCCGCCATCGGCCTCGATGATGCACCAGCCTTCGGGCGCCTCCTCGGCGCAGACATGGACAAACTGACCGCGCGACACCGAAAGCTCACCCTCCGCCTCCGCCTCGAAGTCGGCGAGCACGTGCGCGCGGAAGGCCATTCGGAGGAATTGGGCAGCAGCCACGCCCACGCTGTCAAAAGCAAGCGGGGACACCGTTCACGGAGCTGAAAACTGCGTCACAAGATGATGCTCAACCACTACCGCCAGACCAAAAACATGCTCGTCTCGTGCGACAAGTCCAAGCTCAAATTTGTCCAAGAAAACTTGTCAAATCAGGGCTGCGCCGAGCAGCTTTTAAGGGAGCGTCGCAGGACGAGGCCGCAGAGGAGAGCGACGCGAGAGAGGAAGAAGCGACAAGGGAGAGAACGACGAGAGTGGGACGGCCACGAGGTGGCATGAATGAAGGTTGCAGCGAGAATCGGCGAGAGACTGCGAAGTGGCTCTTTTCTTTCTTTTTGTAGTGAAGCGGGTGGAATGAACGGCGCGTCATCGGGCGCGATTGTGGTCGATTGCCTACCTACCCTACTGTGAGAGATTTGTTTGCCCTACTGTGTGAAAACGTTTTCCACGTATTCCAAATGACCTCCCAGAAATTCTGCCGTATTCCACCCGTATTCCACGTATTCCATGGAATACGCCGTATGCGTATTCCAAGCTCCAAAAATGGACGTATTCCGTATAAAATTTTCTTCGCTCCGCGAATTCACACTAGGCTACCTACCCCTCCCAAAGCTGGAACCCGGCGGCGATGGGTGCGCTCGAGCTCGGCAGCTGCCCCCCTGGGGCACGCGAGCTTAGCAGCGGCGCAGGATCCCTGAGCTGTTCCGACGCGGCCGTGCTAGCAGCTGAGCGAGGCGAGGAGGAGGCGGTGCTGGCGTGGCTCGAGGGCGGCGGGCGGGCCGATGCGACGTACGAGAGAGGCGCGGTGAGCGGCATCACGCTGCTGATGGGCGCCGCCGTCGAAGGCCACGAGCGGGTGGTCGAGCTGCTGCTCCGGCACGAGGCGAAGATCGACCTGCAGAGCAGCAACGGCTACACCGCGCTGATGGCCGCCGCCGAGCACGGCCACGAGCGGGTGGTCGACCTGCTGATACGGCACGGCGCAGAGGTCAACCTGCAGAGCAGCAAAGGCGTCACCGCGCTGATGTACGCCGCCCACTACGGCCACGAGCGAGTGGTCGAGCTGCTGATGCAGCACGGCGCAGATATCAACCTGCAGAGCAGCAACGGCTGGAACGCGCTAAGCGGCGCCGCCCGGGAAGGCAACGAGCGGGTCGTCGACCTGTTGATTCGGCACGGCGCGGAGATCAACCTGCAGAGCAGCGAAGGCGTCACCGCGCTGATGTACGCCGCAATCGGAGGCCACGAGCGAGTGTTAGAGCTGCTGCTGCAGCACGGCGCTGAGGTCAACATGCAGGACAGCGTCGGCTGCGCCGCGCGAGCGGGTGGTCGAGTTGCTGCTGCAGCACGGCCGCTGAGATCAGCCTACAGAGGAGCGACGGCGGCACCGCACTGATGGCCGCCGCCTACAGCGGCCACGAGCGGGTGGTCGAGCTGCTGCTGCGGCGCGGGGCTAAGGTCAACCAGCAGGACAGCGACGGCGACACCGCGCTGATGCGCGCCGCCGACCAAGGCCACCTCGCCGTCGTGCTCCGCTTGCTTAGGGCTGGCGCAGATGCAAAGGCTCGCTCTGCAGACGGCAAGTCCGCGCTGCAGTTCGCCAAGGAGGAGGCGGCCAAGGCGCTAGCTACTGCCGACGCCGCCAGTGCTCATGAAACGGACCACGTCGGGTGCGTGCGCGCTCTCACAGAGCACGCAGCGGCGCTGAGGGAGGCGGAGGCGGCAGAGAAGGCGGCCGAGAAGGCGCGCGAGGCCAAGGGGCGGCGCGAGCAGCGCGAGCGGGAGGAGGAGGCGGCGGCGCGAGAGCGCGAGCAGGCGGCACGACAGCGCAAAGCAGAGCGAGCGGCGGACGAGGCGCGCCGGGCGGCGGACGCGGCGGCGCTGGAGGAGCAGAGGCGAGCGATTGCGGCGGAGGCGGAGGCGAAGCTAGCCGCTGAGCGCGCGGCAGCAGAGGAGGTGCTGCGGGTGAGGGAGGCGGAGAGGCTTGCGGCGGAGGAGGCGCAGCGAGAGGAGCAGCGGGCGGCCGCGGCGGCGCGCAAAGCCGCTCAGGCAGAGGCGGCCCGGCGCGAGAAGGAGGCTGCGGACAAGAGGGCGGAGGAGGAGAAGGCGAGGCGGCGCGCAAAAGCGGCGGAGGCAACGGCGGCCAGGAAGGAGGCCAAGGCGAAGAACAATAAGGCCAAGAAGGCGCCGTCTGCCTTCGCGCTCGAGGAGGAGCGGAGGGCGCGGGCTGCGGCAGAGCTGCGAGAGCAGGAGGAGAGGGCGGCGCAGCTGGCTGCTGAGCAGGAGGCGGCGAGGCGGGCGGAGCGCGAGGCGGCAGAGCTAGCGGGTGCGGCAGAGCAGGCGGCGCTGCGCGAGGATGCGGAGCTAGCAGAGGCGCTGCGCCGGTCAGAGGTGGATGCGGAGGAGGCGCTGGCGCGTCGGGTGTCGCGGTGCGAGGAGGCGGTGAGCAGCGAGGCGACCGGCGGCGGCGGGGACTTGCAGCGGCGTGTCGAGCGGCTGGAGGCGAGCCTCGGCACGGCGACCGAGGGTAGCCTCGAGGAGCGGGTCGGCGCCATCGAGCGTTTGATCGGGCCAGAGGCGGGAGAGGCGGCGGAGCAGCATCTGCCAGTCACCGAGCCGCTTGCTGCCGTCTCACTAGCGGACGCCGGCCTCGACACGGGGCGGCCGGCTGAGTCCACCATGGGGGGCGAGACGTCGTGCATCATATGCTTCGAGCGGCCGAAGTCTCACCTCGCGGTGCCGTGCAGCCACTTGTGCGTTTGCGGTCCATGCTCCGAGCTGATGCGAGAGTGTCCGTATTGCCGCGAGCCAGTGATGATGTGGCTCGCCCCGCGCCCTGTGTGATCACAGTGATCCGTAATCAGCGATTTTCTTTTGGGTCCTGTGGGCACCCTATCGGAGCCGACACGAGGCACACTGTCACCGGCTGTAGCACCGGGTCCGGACTGCTGGACACACAGCACACAGCTCACAGGTTGGGCCAGGTACCAATTTTGTCGAATTTATTTCAAAATTTGCAGGCGCGGAGCGCCTGCGAAAATTTTGAAGAAATTTGCAGTCGGGCCTGATTTTCATCAAGATCTTTCAAATTTGCGGTGTGGAGTTGGGGGGGTGGGGTTATAGGTTAGGGTTATTAGGGTTAGAGGGTTAGGGTTAGGGTTAGGGTTAGGGTTAGGGTTAGGGTTAGGGTCAGGGTTAGTCTTGTTGTGTCTGTATATGCCAGCGTTGCAGGGTTCTGCGCTGGGATCTGGCCCCACAGCGCCGACGACTAACTAAGACTCAGCCCCGCACGCTGAGACCTAGGGTTAGGGTTAGGGTTAGGGTTAGGGTTAGTCTTCTTGTGTTTGTATGCCAGCGTTGCAGAGTTCTGCGCTGGGATCTGGCCCCAACGCCGACGAGTAAGACTCAGCACCGCACGCTGACCCCACCAAATGCCGCCTCAGGGCGCCAGGCAGCCAGCCACCTCTTACACGCGGCCGGCGCCCTCTCGCGGCAAAAGAGTCGAGCGAGCGGCAGAGTCGCGATGTCTGCGCACCCGCGTGCCGATGGGCGGCGCACGCAACCGAGAGAGGCCCTGTCGCGCCGCCAGTAGCGTTCCGCACTCCCCACGCCACCAAATGCCGCCTCAGGGCGCCAGCCACCTCTTACACGCGGCCGGCGCCCTCTCGCGGCAAAAGGGTCGAGCGAGCGGGCAGAGTCGCGATGTCTGCGCACCCGCGTGCCGATGGGCGGCGCACGCAGCGGAGAGAGGCCCTGTCGCGCCGCCAGTAGCGTTCCGCACTCCCCACGCCACCAAATGCCGCCTCAGGGCGCCAGCCACCTCTTACACGCGGCCGGCGCCCTCTCGCGGCAAAAGGGTCGAGCGAGCGGGCAGAGTCGCGATGTCTGCGCACCCGCGTGCCGATGGGCGGCGCACGCAGCGGAGAGAGGCCCTGTCGCGCCGCCAGTAGCGTTCCGCACTCCCCACGCCACCAAATGCCGCCTCAGGGCGCCAGCCACCTCTTACACGCGGCCGGCGCCCTCTCGCGGCAAAAGGGTCGAGCGAGCGGGCAGAGTCGCGATGTCCCTGCGCACCTGGGTGTTCGCCGCCTATATGCTCTATCCTGTGCCAAGACGGACACGTTTTGACAATCAAAATCTACCTCAAAATTTGCGGCCGCTCCTCGAAATTTGCTGATCAAAATTTGCGGTGGCCCGGATCGAAACCTGTACTTTGGCCAACTCACAGGACAGCTCACGAGGTGGCGCTATGTAGTGGGGTTCTCATGGGACTGACGCGGGAGAAGAATTTAAACAAAACAACTCTCTCTCACAGCAGACAGGCTCGACACAGGTGCGAACTGGCGCGTGCTAGTACTATCACCGGCACACCAGGGAGAAGAAAGGTGGTGCCTGCAAGGGAAAGAAAATAAATTCCGCGCGATGCCTGCCCCGCGGCGCCGCTCACGCCGCCTCGCCTCCGCAGCCGCTCCCTCGCCAGACACGCCGCCGCCCGCCCGCCTCCTCGACCTCCCCACGGACCTCCTCGCGCGCGTCATCTCCCGCTGCGACCCCGCCGACATCGCTCGCGTCGCGGCCGTCTCGCTGCTCTTCCACGCCTCGCTTGCGCTGGAGGGCATCCGCTTGCGCCTGCAAGAGGCCGGCTACGAGCCGCCGGCGCAGCCAGAGGGCGAGAGCTGCGCCGTGCGGTGGCTGTGCTATTCTGCGCTGCTGTGTGAGTCCAACCCGCCGGCGAGGGCGTTGGCAGGCGAACGGCACAGCGTCTTCATCGACGGCGAGGGGCGGCTCTCGTCGTGCGGAACGGCTGAGAGCTGGAGGCCAGGACTGCTCGGGCACGGCGAGGGGGTGACGCAGCTCAACACGCCGACCCGCCTCCCTTTCCCGCTGGGCGGCGAGCGCGCCGTGAGCGTGTCGGCTGGAGGTCTGCACAGCTGGGCCCTCGCCGCCGACGGCGCTGTCTGGAGCTGGGGCTTTGGTCT